CACACTACTTCAGTTTAGCTTTGTACTCTATTATACTGCAATTTCTTTTTTTTTTATTATTTTGAAGAAAACAGTCTCTAAACTCATTTCTTTTACTCCTTTTAAGAAATTTATTATTTAAATTTTGGGGTGCATTGGGATACATTTATACACTTACATGAAATAATTTGGTCACTTTCATTCTCCAGCACCTCTCCTTGCCCTCTCCTCTTCCCTTTCCCTATTTCCTTTCTCTGCCTATTAATCTCCCTTCTATGTTCACAAGATTACTGTTTTTCTTTCTTCTATCTTCTACATATGATGGAAAATATATGACCCTTGACTTTCCAAGTTCAGCTAATTTTGCTTAATATGATGCTCTTCATTTCTATTCACTTTTCCTACAAATGATGTAATTTTATTATTTTTGTATGGATGAATAAAACTCATTTTGTATATATTACCACATTTTCTTTATCAATTAATCTATTGATGGACATCTAGGCTGGTTCTGTAATATTTGCTATTGTGGATTATGCGGCTATAAACATGGGTATGTGCATATCACTATATTATGCTGACATTGCTGTGCCATGGGGTGTTTCCATTCCTAATTTTTGAGGAACTTTCATAATGATTGCCCTAGTGGCTGTACTAGTCTGCAGTCCCACCAATAATGTCCAAGTGTACCTTTTTCCTCACATACTCATCAGCATTTATTTTTGTATTCTTGATGATTACTATTCTAAATCAAGTGAGATGAACTCTCAGTGTAGTTTTAATTTGCATTTTCCTTTGTTTTTGAATAAAAAAGTATTATTTTCTTGCTGCTTAAAATTATTCATTTATATATATGCCTAAAATTACAATCACTTATACATATGAATGTTGTTTATAAGAATGTTGACATTCTATACTGTCACTCAAGATATACTATCAACATGCACTATTTTTAATTGATTTTTAAAAAATAAATGACAGTGGAATACATTTCAATTCTTATTACACATATACAGCACAATTTTTCATATTTCTGAGTGTATATAAAGTATGTTGACACTAATTCGTGTCTTCATACATGTACTTTGGATAATGATGTCCATCGCATTCCACCATCCTTGCTAATCCTATGCCCTCTCCCTTCTCCTCCCACTCCTCTGCACTATCTAGAGTTCATCTATCCCTCCAATGCTCCACCTCCCTACCCCACTATGAATCAGCCTCCTTATATCAGAGAAAACATTCAGCATTTGTTTTGGGGGAATTGGCTAACTTTACTTAGCATTATCTTTTCCAACGCCATCCATTTACCTGCAAATGCTATGATTTTATTCTCTTTTATTGCTGAGTGAAATTCCATTGTGTATATATGTCACTTTTTTATCCATTCATCTACTGAAGGGCATCTAGGTTGGTTCCACAGATTAGCTATTGTGAATTGTGCTGCTATAAACATTGATGTGGCTGTGTCCCTGTAGTATGCTGGTTTTAAGTCCTTTGGGTATAGACCGAGGAGGGGGATAGTGGTCAAATGGTGGCTCCATTCCCAGATTTCCAAGGAATCTCCATATTGCTTTCCTTATTGGCTGCACCAATTTGCAGTCCCACCAGCAATATATGAGTGTACCTTTTTCCCCACATCCTCTCCAACACTTATTGTTGTTTGTCTTCATAATAGCTGCCATTCTAACTGGAGTGAGATGAAATCTTAGAGTGGTTTTGATTTGCATTACTCTAATTGATGAACATTTTTTCATATATTTGTTGATTGATTGTATATTCTCTTCTGAGAAGTGTCTGTTCAAGTCCTTGGTCCATTTATTGATTGGGTTGATTGCTAAAGATGTTAAATATTTTTTTTCATATATCTGTTGGTCATTTGCACTTCTTTTAAGAAATGCTGTTTAGTTCTTCTATTTATTGACTGAGTTATTTGCAGTTTTATTGTTAAATTTTTGAGTTATTTATATTAATCCTCTATCTAGAAGAGTAGTTGGCAAAGATTTTCTTCTTTTCTGTATGAACTCTCTTCAGACTACTGTTTCCTTTGCTATGCAATTTCATTTAGTCTTTTGCTTTGTTTAATTAGTAATTAAAATAATATATTAAGATTTCTGATATGTTGTAGTATATTATTTATTTTGTTCTTTAAGAATTTTCTTTATTTCTATAGATGAATTGCTTTTCTGATGAATTAAGCAATAATTTAAGATACAGCAATTAAAGTGTATGTTCATATCTTCAGTTTTTTTTCTCCACATTTCAGACTGTCTTTGAAATCATCTAGGTTATTTGTGTGAAGAACTATCTTATAATACTTTCCTGTAGAATCTCAGCTTGGATTCTAGAACAATGGTATCTACTAGAACATCCAATAATGGTAGAAATACTAATCTATATCTCCACCAGGCGACCAGCATGCTGGTTTCATTAAAGAGGTTCGTGGCATAGAAGTTAACTAGTGAGATCAAAATAAAACACACAGACTCAATTACCTTTTTCTATGAACAGGTCTGAGATGTCTCTCACCTTTCTGGCTCTCACCTGAAATCATCCGGTGGGACAGCAAGGCTTATTCAAGGCTAGCAGGAGAGAGAGCAAGAGCATGCCAGGGAGTGGCCTTTTATTGGGGAATAAGAAATTCAGGGGAAAATTCCATCCAATGAAGGTTGAGGGGGGCAGCATTCCAAGGTCAGGGTCAGTGATTGGCCTCAGGGTCAGTGGTCAGTCACACCCCCACACAGACAGGCTCTTGCACCTGGAGAGGGTGGGGATAGCAATAATCATTGTTTGTCTTTAGATTTTAACTGACTTTTGCAATGTCATAGTGACAAAAACGAGTCGACAGGATTATTGGTTTGTTTTGTCTTTAGTCATGAAGCGAGAAGATACTTGAACATCAGTTTTCTTAAAGGACTTGAATCAAATATGGGTTTTTTTTTGTAGCTAAAGCATTTTATTAAATTAAGCGTGAAATTTGCAAATGGTTTCATAAGAAATTTTAAAAGCAAAGTTATAAACATTTTCAATAAAAAGTACAGAGTTAACAGCAAAATTACATTTTCTTTATAGTACAAATAAAAACATTTTGTTTCTGATATACCATCTGAAGATCTTATATTCTCCAACTGATAGCTGCAATGTTATATTTTAAGGAAAAAATCTCATGGTTATTTCAATCATTTATTAATAACAGGTTCATCATTTGGACCATAAAAGTCAATTGCTCAACTTTAAGGAAAATAATAAACCTTGTCATATTATAACATGAAGTTGAAAAGGCTCTTCAGGATGCAGATGTGTCCTGGCCTTTTTTCTCTATTAAATTCTGTAAAGAGGCATTAAGTAATACTGTAATTACAGTATTACTTAATGAATTACACTTCAAAAATAAGCTCCATTAATATACATTCTACATAAACTTACTTTGCCTTTTAAATGACACTTTTTTGGCCACACAAACTTTTAAATCTGTTCTTTACATGTAAATAAAAATAAGCAATATTTAATCACTACACAAAAATATCATCAAAACTTCACCTCATTGCACAATGAAAAAGCATTGAGAAAAAGCACTGGAAAAAACAGCACACATTATTTTTATCTTTTTTTTGATGCATTTTGCCATTTTCTTACATTGAGAACAGTTAAAACATTGTCAGAGCAATTTCCTGAGTTTCAAAAGTTTCCAATCTCCAGCTCAGAACTAACTAACTAATCATGTTATTACATGTATCTTTTTCCTAAGCATACAAAACACTTGAATTTAAAAAGAAAAAGGCTATAATAAAAAGACAGAAAACCATCCAAAAAAA